ATAATATTCCACCCTGTATACATTACATAACGGATTTTGAATTCACGAAGTGACTCAGGCTGCTAGTATATCCTACTTTATATATATATATAATATTATAAATGAGAAAGTTTGGATGTATGGATGGATGTATGTTTGTGACAAGTGAACGCGAAAAATACTGGTCGGATTGGGCTGAAATTTGGCATGATGATAGCTCACATTCCCGATTAACATATAGGCATGTTTTTATTTCAAAAATCCTTTCGGGCTCTGCCCCAGTGGCTCTGGAGTTTCCCATGTCAACCTTATGAGAAATGGAATTATTGAATCTTAACAGCTGTTTCAATTCTGTTCTATGATGTTCAATGGCATTAAAGTTACAAGGATTACCAACAGGGTGCAGCACTATTATTTCTTTTACATTTATGACAACAGCTAATTTGCAACCAAAAGGTGAGTGAGCGTAGCGAACGAACTTCAACCTGGAGGCGAGTTAGCGTAGCGAACGAGCTAACCTGAAGGCAAGTGAGCGCAGCGAACGAGCTCCAACCTAAAGGTGAGTGAGCGTAGCGAACGAGCTCCAACCTAAAGGTGAGTGAGCGTAGCGACCAAACTTCAACCAGGACGTGATTGAGCCATGCGAACGAGATAATCTTGAATATTAAGAAGTTAAACGGGGCAAAGCCCGCGGGTTACAGCTAGTCCTTAATAAATAAATATGCCAAATGTTATCAAATGGTATATCACTGAGTTAAAATTATAACATACAAGCAAACTTTAAGGGGAGCAGTGTGCAAAAATGCCTAAAAAATAAATTTTTAATAAATGATGACAAAATATTGTGTATTTTGTGCTGTTTAATAAAATATATAACACTTTATACTTTGGATATTTTTTTTATATAAGAAGGAATCATTAATTCTTCATTAAGATACATTAAGGAAATTACCCATTTTCCCGGTTTTTCCTGATTTACTAAGCTTGTAATAGTCTAATCTTAAATCAAACTGCATATTTGCATATAGGAAAAACTGAACAATTTGAGTACCCATAGTCTAATATTGTATATAAAAATAATTTTCCCGGATTTTTGGAAGAGGGCCCTTCTGGATTCTACTGAGCCTGCCCATCAAGGGTTCAAATGTGAATATCCGAAAGTTAGTTTTTATAAGTTTAGGCACCATTCTAAAGAAAACTACTTAACTCATCAGGCCCAAATTTGACACAATACTTCCTGTTACCATGGTGAATAGTTTCATGCATTTTTAGAATGTTACCATTAATCAATCAATCAATTCAATCAATTATCAATCAATTATTTAAGATGGGGACGCCACTATGTGCGTATTTTAACCCAAATATGAGTGAAGGATGAGTGTAGGATGAGTGGCGCGATCTTGTAGTCTTGTTAGTGACTAAGGCCGACATGTTCCTTAGACACAGCTGTTAATTAATAGCCCATACAGCTAATGGCAACTAAGGGACCTACAGTTTATAGTGGAATCCGAACCACATTTTTCCTTGTAATTTACGAATTGGTCTAATTATCAGGATAGTACTGCGGATAGTCGTAGTACTCACTAGTGCGGACGTTAATCCACACCAGTGAGCATCGCATCCACATTAATTTTACTTTAAAAATAAACTAGTGTGCCTGTTGCTCGAATTCGAGCAATTGCATTACAGGCGACTCAAAGATTATGGAAATACTCACAATCTACACAACAGTTAGATATAATCAAAATCTTTTGTAAATATATCTTATCAGTTTTTCAAAAAGCTGATCTTGTTTTTTTAGTGTTTTCTACAAATTTACCCCTCTCATAGCCGCATTAGGTTGTCTATGATAACGATTATAAATGAAAAATACCCCCGCCGCAGCAAACCTGCCGACTAAACGAATTTCCATTTGCCTTAATTGATTTTCATCAAAATATTTAAATAACATACGGTTTAACGAGTACCTAGGTTTGCTGCTACAAGGAAACTAATAAAGTGTGTTTTTGAGTAAAATATTGATAGCTTAGTACACAATAAATAAATTTGCCAAGTTTGATCAAAATATATCCATAAACAAGCAAACTATACAACATTTGACAATATTCTCCATAAAAATAACATGGGAATTTTAAATTTACAATTTTTTTAATTTTCTCCGTTACCAATAACCGAATAAAAATACTTTGATATACTAAATTATTTGTTTTTTAAGCTCTTTAAAAAGGCCTAAAGAGAAATTGGGAAATTTTGTGTTTTGAGGGTCAAAAGTGAGAAAACCCAATTTTTACCCCATAAAACTCCCCGTAAAACCGCGTTCCCATGGTCCGATCATGCTGGTTCGCGAACTCATTCAAGTTTATCCCGCTTTACACCTTTAAACCAAATTTCATCTAAATCGGACAAAAATTATTCAAGTTATCGCGTTCACGGACACACACACACACACACACACACACACACACACATATATATATATATATATATATATATATATATATATATATATATATACATATATAAAAATTTGAACGAATGGTGTTTTTGGCCTACTACTTCCCTATAGGGAAATTCGCTAAAAAAACATGATTTCTATTTCTTCTACTCGGTTGTGTTCTATGACTTTTTCTATGTTTCCATTGTTTGCAAATTGGTTATTTCAATGATTGCTCAAGAAATGTAGAACAGTGTTAATTCAGTTTACTTTTAGCCTATATCAAATTGACCAGGATTTCTCACTCTTTTCCATTCTAATAATTACACCAACCCAAGTTTCGTCTACAGATGCAATATGCCAACGAATATCACCTACGTACAATCTCCAAGAAGTGGTAAAAAAGGCAGAAACCAACCCATACAATAGATATAAGTTAACTCCAAAAGAAATAATTTTAAGAGTTACTGTGATAATAGGATTTTCCACAGATTTGGTAATAGAACATTATATTGCAAAACATGACACGATGCAGAAGAAAATCCATTTTAAAATCAGAAAAATCCCATTGCAAATACTAGCTGTACTTCATTTTGACAAATTCAATAAATCACAATTTGAATATTAACAGCTGTTGCATTAAAAAGTAGTGTAAGTGTAGAATTATGCATATGGTCATAATGTAAACAAATCTGAAGAGGCAACTTTAAAGGCTTCTGGGGCAGAGCCCCAAGGGAATTTACCTCTTTCCTCTTTTGATGGCTCATCTACAGACCAAGACCTTTCTTTAGAGACCCCTACCAAGTTTACGCCCAGCCGTTCTCTCAAAATAGCTGTGACAAAAACCCCGTTTTCCTCCATAAGAATAACATGGGATGGGAATTTAAAGGCCACGGGGGCAGAGCCCCAAGGGAATTCACCATGTTTCTCTTTTGATGGCTCATCTACAGACCAAGACCTTTCTTTAGACGCCTCTACCGAGTTTTACGCCCAGCCGTTCTCTCAAAATAGCTGTGACAAAGAAAAACAGTTTCAAATTAATATGAGGGGTTGAGAGGCCAAGGGAGATAAGTGACTTTTTAAAAAATGTCATTGTATTTTTTTCAGAGTCATAAAAAATAAAATAAAAATAAAAATAAATTCACTTATACCCCTTGGCTTCCAACTCTTAGGTGTTTAGTTTGGAGGCCAAGGGATATAAATGAATTATTTGTTGAAATTCCACCCTTTTTTAACAAAACCCGTTACCATGACAACATTTTTTAAAAAGTCACTTATCTCCCTTGGCCTCTCAACCCCTCATATATAGATTGTTTATTATTTAAAAAAAACAATAAAAAATTAGTAATTTTTTATTTTATATTTTAAAAACTAGACCTAATTTCTTGTTTATATAGCATCATAGAAAACAATCTAAGGAATGAATTTAAAAAAATTAAGTCAATATCTCTAACGGTTTTAAAAATAAATGTACCTATCTAATCACATGTTTTCCCATAACAATAACATGGGAGTGGTATTCGCATACTGCTCCCCTTAACCGTTTAGTTTGAACCTTATAAGAATAATGTGGGAATTTTATATGTATGATTGTTTTTAAATTTTCTCCATAAGCCCTTATCTTTGACCATTGACTATTATTAATAGTTAAATCTTTAACCCCACAATTACGAGTCAATATACAAAATTTATCGCTTTTATTATAAACTAGCTGGCCCGACAGACGTCGTCCTGTCCTATTGTGGTTTTATGTCACATGCTCGTTCATTTTCAAGATGAGCTCGTTCGCATGGCTCAATCACGTCCTGGTTGAAGTTCGTTCGCTACGCTCACTCACCTTTAGGTTGGAGCTCGTTCGCTGCGCTCACTTGCCTTCAGGTTAGCTTGTTCGCTACGCTAACTCGCCTCCAGGTTGAAGTTCGTTCGCTACGCTCACTCACCTTTTGGTTGCAAATTAGCTGTTCTCATAAATTAAAAAAAAATATATAGTGCTGCACCCTGTTGGTAAACCTATTAACTTTTTAATGCTACTGAACATCACAGAATCAAATTGTTTAGCTGCACCAGCTGTTAAGATTCTTTAATTCCATTTAAATATGAGTACTCATAAGGTTAACATGGGAAACTCCAGAGCCACTGGGGCGGAGCCCTATTGACGGATCTGCACCAAACTTCACACAAACCATCCTTGAATAATGCTTAATAATGCCTAAAAGTTTCATTACAATATGTCGAGCGGTTTCGGAGTCCATAAAGGACAAACATACAAATATACAAACATACAAATATACAAACATACAAATATACAAACATACAAATATACAAACATACAAATATACAAATATACAAACATACATTGGATTTTATATATATAGATTAGGTATTGTTAGGAAATGGAAATGAGGGTAAACTATTGAGAACAATAAAAAATGTCAAACCCTTGTTTTTGTCTGTTCCACATATATGCTCAATGCTTCATAAATTTTTAGTATTTACTGGGGACTGTAAATGCAAATATGACCTAATTCAAGCCAATCACACGCCATTTTGCCGCGTAGCGCGTAGGAGGATTTCTCCATTATTCCCAGATTGATCATTCTTACTCCTCTACTGGGTTTCTTTACATTAGAGAGGTGTCGTATTTTATTCTTGTGACCGATAATTCCATTTTTATATAGTAAGATTATTAATTTTCTCTCATGAATATGGATAGGGACATGGATGGTGATTCTCGTGATAGGTAAGTTCATCCATACTGGAATATTTTTGACATAATTCTTTTTAAACACTTGTTTTGAGAGGCCTACCTTAAATTCACTCGCCCGGCATTTTGATTACTTAGAAGCTTCAAGCTTCCTTGTAAAACGAGGCTAGGCCTAAGTTACTTCCTGAACCGTCTTGACGAAACAAAACATTCGTAATTTTTAGATGGATATTTCATTTTAATATTATAGATATGTAGGCCAAAATAAATCCTAGCGTAGGCTAGTTAGCCTATCTATAACCCTCTGAGTGTCCCTTGTTTTGGCCTTAATGTCTGCCTATTTTTTGCTCATTTGCAAGGTTTTATTAAAACGGATCTGAGAAGCTTAAAAACAATGTTAATTAACTTATACTGTTCTATATACAATTTTGTTTGGAAAATCATGGGCTTCAATATTATATATAAAACATAAGGAACATTTTTTAAAAACAATTTTCTTAGGTAAAAAAAAATATTTTGGAAAATTAAAAAAAAAAATTAAGTTTGCGCTCGGGTACAGTTTTTTAACTGGGCTATGCTAATATCGATTGAAACTATCGAATTGAAAATATTGATTAATAATCGATATTTTTAAATATATCTATTATAAAATTTGGTTAATATGCATTTTAGGGTTTGCACGCGATTTTTGAAATTTTTTTTTCATTCTACTCGAAATTTAACGCTGATTCCGAAAATGACGTTCTTTTTCCGCGGAAAACGACCATAACGCGGAAAAACGACCAAAACGACCAAAAACTCTTTTTTTTACCAAAACACGTCATGTGGGTACTCAAATTAACCGTAATATTAAGCAGATCACGAATATGCAAGAATTTTTTGGATCCGAGGTTAAATAAGCGAGATATTCACGAAAACGTGATACTACCAGCAATAACTCCAACTCACTAGGGGACAGGTGGGAATTCGGGGTTTTGGGTGGGGGAGACATCTAACGTGGTTTATCGTTGTAATTTAATGTGTAAAAAATAATGGGTAATTAGTCGGGAGAATTATGGGAGATATGCTTGAAATTGGGAAATTTTTCAGTACCAACCTATTCATTGGTTGTAGTAGCACTGCCATGTTGCTCGTTAGGTTAGGTTAGGTTAGGTTAGGTTAGGTTAGGTTGGTTAGGTTGGTTAGGTTGGTTAGGTTAGGTTGGTTAGGTTAGGTTAGGTTAGGTTGATTAGGTTAGGTTAGGTTGGTTAGGTTAGTTTGGTTAGGTTAGGTTGGTTAGGTTAGGTTAGGTTGGTGTGGTTGGTTAGGTTAGGTTTGGTTAGGTTGGTTAGGTTAGGTTAGGTTGGTTAGGTTAGGTTGGTTAGGTTAGGTTGGTTAGGTTAGGTTAGGTTGGTTAGGTTGGTTAGGTTAGGTTAGGTTGGTTAGGTTAGGTTGGTTAGGTTAGGTTAGATTGATTAGGTTAGGTTAGGTTAGATTGATTAGGTTAGGTTAGGTTAGGATGGTTAGGTTAGGTTGGTTAGGTTAGGTTAGGTTAGGTTAAGTTAGGTTAAGTTAGGTTAGTTTGGTTAGGTTAGGTTGGTTAGGTTAGGTTTGGTTAGGTTGGTTAGGTTAGGGTAGGTTAGGTTAAGTTAGGTTATGCATAGTATCATCCCTTTTACCTGTTAAATTAAAACATAAACAATTATAATAAAATAATGACCAGCTGATCCTGATCAGCTGGTATTTTAACACAGACAAAAGTTAGGGCAAAAATCCAAAATAGCATCGCATATTTACATGAAAATCTCGCTTATTTGACCTCGGATCCAAAAAATTCTTGCATAGTCGTGATCTGCTTAATATTACGGTTAATTTGAGTACCCACATGACGTGTTTTGGTAAAAAAAAGTTTTTGGTCGTTTTGGTCGTTTTTCCGCGTTATGGTCGTTTTCCGCGGAAAAAGAACGTCATTTTCGGAATCAGCGTTAAATTTCGAGTAGAATGAAAAAAAAAATTTCAAAAATCGCGTGCAAACCCTAAAATGCATATTTACCAGAGTGAAAAACAGATTTCAGTACATAGCGTTTAGCTAAGAATGCATAGCCTAACCATAGCTAGGAATCTGGCTGATAATTTACATCAATATCACTACCTACTTCTTCAGGATCATCAACCAGCCCTTCAAAATCACTTAAATCTTCTTATAATGCACCACATATATCACTACTTTTGATATTTAACACTAAAACAATGATAAATGTAATAAAACACATCAGTCATTGGTCCGAGGTTAACCAAGCTGTTAACCCTAGAGCTGGAAGTACATAGTGTAACGCTGTACTGGCATCTAGGGATTTTATTAATTATGTAATATCATTTTTAAACCATCATAAAAATTAGAAATAGCAACATAACTATGGATTATTATATATCATTTTGTTCAGAATAAAACAAAGAACAATATTAATATAGGCTAGGTGGTTTACATGGTTACCACAAAAAATTTTTTTTAGTTTTTCCGAATTTTGGGCATTAAGTTATTAATTTTTTTATAAAATGTTTTATATTCCGTCGTGTAGCTAAGTGCAGGTTAGACTTATCATCATAAGGTAAATTGTAAAGTTGTAGTAAATTTTGTGCTGATTCCAAAAATATATAGTTTATATAGCTTACTTTGTGTATTTTGTTTGATAGCCCTATTATTATGTTGATCGTACCCCCGCGCTAGTACTAAATAATCATCCAACCCAGGTCATGTACAAAACCGTACACCTTATATAATATATAATTCCTGGGTACTCTGGTTTGAATTATTTAACTTATTTATTACAACAGTAGCCCTAAAAAGCGAACAAAACTGTAAAAAAAAAAAAAAATTTATATATAGGCCTACCGTAACACCTGCATTGGCGCCATATATCCGGCGTTGCCATTTCGGCCGCGGCCGTTCGTGCCGTATATCGGCGTTTGCCAGAGTGCTAGGGTTAAAAATACGCACGTCAGCTGTCTGCTACAATATTTTCGGAACTAAAATGAAAAGCGCTTAGAGACAGACCTCCGGAGAAAGCTCTGAATCTGTCAAATAAAACGATAGCCTACCTAACTCGATCCAGTTCAATCCGATTTTGTCAGTCATAGAGCCTTCGCCGTAAACAGTGTTTGTGAGTCGCTGCAGCGACAAATAACACTCGGAGGGATAATAATTAGAAGTCAGGCTACTTCAAGTCAGACTTAGCCTAAGTTATGCCTAGAGAGCAGGCCTAACTTAACACGATGACTGCTGAAAACAACATACAGGCGCTCCCCAGTGGTGGGCGAAGCCCCGGCACGCAACCGAATCAGCGAACACAATTGGCATTCAAATATCTCAGTCTGGCGAATCACAAAAGAGCAGTGGTGACTGTGCTGCGTTACTCCGAGAGTGGATGTAGTTCACTGAAACACCCAAAGGTAGCAGCACTGCACGGATCCGTATCCAGTGTCTTTGTAATGTGGGTTGAAGAGAAAAAAACCCTGAAACCGGGACAAAAGCATTGCCAAACAAGATTTTACGGGAAATTTTAGTACCAACCTACACCAAAGTAAAGCTCGCATTCTAAGCTGGCAGGCTGGCAACGATTATAATGTCTCCGTCTGAGACTAAGCTCACACTGACTCAATATATTTCTGTTGGTCTGGGTCCGACTTTTGTCGGCGCGCGCCACATTGAAGTGCTAGCGACAGTCGGCGTTAGCAGTCAACGTGTTAAGTCAGTCAGACATCCTATAGCCCAAGTAAGCCTAGGCCCTAAATTGGCTCCTTATGGCGGAACATCAAATAGCTATCTGCCAATAGGTTACAGTACCTACATTTTAAACTAGCTTAAGTAAGTTTAAGGCACTTAACCCTTTCGCCGCCACAATTTATAAGTGGTTGCAAAACCACCAAGGCCATTTTTTGGTCAAGTGCAATGTTTTGATTAACAAGCTCTCTCTTGTTTCCTTAGGCATAAAACAATAATTCTTTTTTGGTTAAGTTTAGACTAGTTATAAATTTGTCTTTAAATTAATACCTATATATATAAAACGCAGACGACAGCCGCAAAACGCAGAGTCAAGTCACATCACAACATAACATTCAGTCTGCTTCCTGCCATGTCCACAGCAGTGCGTGTAGTTGATAGGCCTATCACTATAGATTTTTATTTATTATGACGACACATCAAGTGGATCCTTTTGTTTGCCTGACGATGGCGGAGATGCTTAAATAGCCGCCGAAACATATGTAGCAACTTTGACACTACCTGCATGTTAAGGATTGTCTGACGAGGTATGTTTTAACCATTATTTGTCATAATATAGGCCTAGGCTACTGTACAATTTATTGGGTTAGGCTAGATTTGTTTTTTTTTTATTTCCGTAGGCCTACATATTAAAAACATGTTTTGCAATACGAAAAATACATAAAAATTAAATTCATACCTATAGCCAGCAACTCAGTTTACCCTACACCAGAAACAAATTTCTTATAAGTAACTTAACTTAAGTATACGGTTACTGTAGTGATAGGGCCTCTGAGATAACTTATGTGTTCTACATATAACTTTTGTTAATGTAGTAAACTGGCAAAATTTGAAAGCCTCACCTTATAAACCAACTCATATTGGTGCTTTTTTTAAAAAAAAAAGACAGGCTTAAAGCACATGCTGGTTCGCGAACTCATTCAAGTTTATCCCGCCTTACACCTTCAAACCAAATTTCATCAAAATCGGAAAAAAATTACTCAAGCTATCGTCCGGACGGACACACATAATATATATATAAATTTGAACGAATGGTGTTTTTGGCCTCTGGGGACATCAAAATGAAAAAGTAACGGTCCCGGGCCTAGGTCTTACCATGAGACCTACGGTAATAGCTACTTCCCTATAGGGAAATTCGCTAACAGATCACCAAAATTAATAAACATACAAATACGCAATGTTTACATCAGCTGGTATGTTTAGCTAATTGAAACACGGTAGCAGCCTAGTATATCCATTAGAAAATGAATGAATATTATAGTTTACGAGCTGTTGG